CGAGCACGTCAGATTAAGGTAGGGTAAGTTAGTTATATCCTAAAAAGGGTATATTCCACTAATATGACAATGTTCGATTGACGATAAGAATTAGGTGTGTTACAAACTTGGAAAAAAACGTCATCTCGACTTTCTCGAGCGTGGCTAAATTTTTTTTTTATTTTGAAGGCAATAATTCAACGTTCACGAATAATATATAATCTGACGATTTCCGTAAGCCGAAGTAAGGAAAAATAATCGATAAAGTTTAATGCGTGCAGCTACGTGATGCCGGTATTCCCTTACCGCGTTTATATTTTTTATTTTTTTATTTATATTTTTTATACTTTTTTTCTTATAAATAAAAGTTTTGTACTTCAAAGAATATATACTGTTATATTTGCATGCTATTTTTTCAGCTCTTTAATTTGTTAAGTTAAAAGATTTGAAAAAATACAAAAAATTATTTCCATTGTCAGATTAGGCGAATCCCTCGAGATAATCATCAGATTATGAGACAGCACGTTTAGGGAATATAAATGAACCGTATATATATCTTAATCTGACGCGCTCGAGTATTTCAAAATGGCGATTTTTTTGCACATTCTAATAATGGCCGCGAGTTTGGGTCACATCCAAATCGTCATATTATTACATAAGAGTCGTCTTTTAGGTTTTAACATCCCCTTTGAAAATCTGACGCGCTCGATTAATTTTTTTTCCCTTTTCAACCCTTACGTACGACCACCCCCTCATGGAAACAATCAGATTAACATACGTATGCCTTTAAAAATACGTAGGACATGGATGCTATATATCTGACGCGTTCGAGTATGTCCATGCAACTGTTTTTTTTACATTTTTGAAAATTTATAGCCGCTCCCCCACCGATGAAAGTGTATATATTATATGACTTTTTTTTCTTCTTATCATCTAAGCTTCGCATTCCAATAGGTCTCTTTGACGCTCGAGTAAATCCCGCTTTAGCACCCTCGGCTCCCCTACTATGATATGCTCGCTAAGTTACGTTCAATGAGGGCTGATAATCTTACGGTCAACAGATGTCGCTAGTTGACACTGAGGGGGGAAGGTTTTTGTTGTTACATAATAACATTTCATTGATAGTTTAGTTTTAAACAAAAGTTTGTCAGTTTCTAGAGTATTATATGAATACACAAAACAATGCCTCGATGGTTTGTTCTTTGATTTATTGCACATTTATGACATTTTTTTAAATTTTTCTATTTTTATGAATATCTCTGCTATGGTTTATTTATTATTAATCTAATTAATATAAAATATAAGTAATGGTACAGAAAGTAACATTGACCATCACATTTTTCGAAAAACTCAACTTCCTCACTATGCAATCTGTCAAATATTACACCTCATTTTAAGTGGCGCCGCCCTGGTGACAGAAAAAGGAAAAGTCGTGAATGCTCTCATTTTCCGTACTTGCTTTAGTCAACCATAAAATATTATATAATACTGGAGATAGTCGACTGCGAGTGAGCGAGAAGACCATAATTATAGGTCTTTGTTTTACCTTTATAAGCCACGACGTTGTTGTCGACAGTCCAACACTAAACGTTTATAATGTGACTAAGAAAACGCTGTCATTATTTATGTGCGCACTTTCTCAACGTAATTTAAAGATTATTTGCGATAAGTATGTAACATTATTTCGTATTTGCCTAAAACACAGTGCCTGTCGTAATTGAATATACAAAATTTGCGTGGCATATTTACCGCCGGTGAGGGGAGGGGGGTCCGCGCGAACCACGGCTGTGACATAGTTTTTGTTCTAAATTGCCGGTCTAGTAATATACGAAAAAATCTTTGATGGTAACATTGATATTGTGAAGCTAGATTTTGATAATAAAGACTATTTAAATTCGAATTTTACTGATGAAAAAAAACACTGGACACAGGGTTGGTATGATTAAAACAAATTTGTTTTAAAACACGTGTTCAAACAGGTTTTAAAACAGTTGGAAATAAAACTTTGTTTTCTATGAATTGTTTAAAAACACAGTTTGAAACAAGTTTGAAACAAGTTTTACAGTGTTAAAACATTAAGGGAAAAACAGAGTTTAAAGATATTTTTTAATGCAAATGAATAGAAGTAAATGAAAACAAATACCTACGTAATAAAATCCCAAAATAGCTTGAAATAAATTTACATGTTGAGTTTATGTCGTTTTTCTATTTTTCATTTAAATTAGGCATTATAAGGAGAAGTTTATTTGAAATTGTAAATAAAACATTATTTTATTACAATAATTTATTTAATCATAGAAAAAAAAACAGTAACCATTAATGTTATGAATTATAACTAAGTAGGTACCATTAATTAATTTATTTTTTATTTATTTTTTACATTTATGTCAACAAGATAACTACTACTTTTAAAACACATTAAATGTAATGAATAAACAACCAGTTATTATAAATCAACAAAAAATCTAAATTTCGAACCGGACATTGAACTTACACAAATCACCTAGTAACTATTCGGTCTCACGCTAACGTACGGTCTCACCCTCAAGCTCCATCCATGCTTCAGTCTCTTCGCCATTACAGCAGGACATCTTATGGGAGATGTCAACTGTGAGTGTTGAAGAGTATGTGGAGAGCCTGGGCTTGATGCTTCAGCGCCATGTCATTTACTTTCAATGAAATTGATAAATCTATAGCAGTTGCATTATTTAAGCATATCTCTGAACTCTGGAATAATTTGCCAGTTTTCCAAAAAAAAAATGCAGTCAGCCATTATGTTCCAACGCACCTATGGTGGTGTAGCAATTGCTTTCCACCAGCTTTTTTGCATTTTGTAGATGCAAAGTGATTGTATTTGAAGTACCGAATTATTGATTTGACTTGCTTAGTAATATGTTCTGCAATCAAGGTTTAATGTGTGTGATGAACAGCCGTATGTAAGAATATTCATATGAGACGCTAATTCTTCCTGTTGAGCCAAGTCTCGTCTCATTCGGCTCATTTTTGCTGCGTTATCTGACACTACGCTTCGCACCGTGAATTTGAAAGTGTCAAATTATTTTATTGCCGCAGTAGTAATTTCAACCAAGTAGTCTGCTGTATGGCTTTCGGCGCCAGTATCTATTATATCAATTAAATGAGTTGAGTTTGTTAACACATCTATGATACAGACGCAAACTATCGAGTCCTGCTTGACGTTACTTCAACCGTTAATACATCACCTTTTACGCTTTCTTGGGTTGAGTTGAAGACTGCGAGTAGATTACCGGAAATTTGTTTACGGTTTGGCTATGGGCGTAAACTTTCCTTTAATTTCAGAAACTGTGGGTGTTTCACGTGGTTAAAAGGCATGTTGGTAAGAAACTTATAAAGAGTTAGTTGTAAATCAATTTTCTTGTTATCATTTTGAATTGTTCTAATAGTAAATTTTTTCATTGAAACGTTGACGCTCGCACTTTTGCTACGGGCACTGGCACTTTTAGATTGAATAGTAATAACAGAAACAGATGTGGAAGAAGTATTATCTGCAGATCGGGAAGAACCAGCATCACTCTGCATCAGTGTGAGTACCGGTGCTACAATTCTGGAAGTGTGCCTCCATTTTTCTTACAAGTCCAACAAGTTCTTTCTTACATTTTCTGCAACGCACCCCATTAGTCTTCAGTGTGGTATTTTCTTGAGGAATCGATACGAATTGTTCCCGATTTGCACGCATTTTTCGTCCTAGAGTTAACATTTTTATAAGGTGTTAACTGATCAGTTGATAATTAAATGAAACATGGAGCAAGCAATTTATAAGCTTTATAGGTAATTTCGCGCCGGTAAAGTCCCTGTGGGAATGACGCCGTTTTGACCGTCGTCGAAAGAAAGTAATTCACTAGATTAGTGGGTGGGTATTCCATCAATTTAAATATAGGGTGTTTCCCCTATTAAGAATGAACATGATGTATGTAAAGCGTTCAGTATTAAAAAATAAATGTATATCGATTAATCGCTTTTTGCAAATGGGTTCTATCTTAATTTAAGTAGGTATAATATACTAGAGATGGGCCGAATATTCGTATCATATTCGGCATTCGGCGTATTCGGCATCTTTACCGAATATTCGTATATGGCCGAATATTCGTATTCGGCCGAATATTCGGCTAAATCACCGAACATTTGTTAAAATGTTACTCAAGGTGTCCACTGTATTGAAATGTATGAATTGAGTAGTGCCATGTCTTTCATAATTTTATTGTTAAAACTATATTTTATTAATGGGTCAAATCTACTTGTATAGTGTTATCTTTTTGAGACACTGTAGATTTATTTCCAATTATAGCAAATAGAAAGATTGATAAAATGATTTTGGAATCAAACAAAGAAACGTTACATTACATTAGTACATTTCTGTTTACTTTGGTCGTCAATTTCTCTAAAATAAGTCCAAATAGTAGAACTCCTGCCACTCATTTTTATAATATCATTATCAATTTTCACTAAGAAGAGTACAACGAAATACTTTTTCCTCATAAAATAATCATAACATATGAATGCATGCAGGATCCGGCCCTAACCTCGCGCGCTTGACGATACCAAGTTTCGACATAAATTGTTTAGGTACCGAGGTGATCCTGCCGAATAATGTTCGGTCGAATATTCGGTACGGTAAAAGTTTTACCGAACTTTCGGCCGAATATTCGTATTCGGTGAAATCCATATTCGGCCCATCTGTAATATATACATTTACATACATCAATTTAAGCATATTAATTGTACACATATTACACAACATTTATTTAGGTGCTTAATGACATTTAATACTAAGAAGTAATATAATGGTCACAATTTTGTTGATCATGAATCATTTGAACGTGGTAGAACCATGTTGCAGCTGTAGTACGAGGCAGGGAGCGGTCCTACTGCATGGTTCAGAAAGAGAGGACCAAAGGCTAGCCTAGGCTTTGGGTCTTTTTTCCCTGAATTGTACGGCAACTTATTATTCTACTCCTGATCTCTTGTTAAAAATAATAAAGGTTCTACAGCTGGTCGTTATCATTGAATCTGTAAAAAGAAATTTATTTTTGAAATACTCTTAAATTTACAAAATGTTAAATAGATAAAAAAGATGCGTACTCAAACGGATCGCCTCCGTACGATGAAAAAACGTTAGTGAGAGTGTTTATATAATTTTTGGCAAGTGTTACTATTTCTTCTTCCGACAGTGTTCGATTTTTATCATGTGGTATAACACGTAGGAGCCCCTGAAAACATAATCACATGTATCGTTACTAAAATACAGGTGCAGTGTCAATGAGTAAATGGTACTATATTAATAAACATTGGAAAGACTTTGACGACCTGTGGTATTTCAGTACGAGTTACCAACATCATTTGTCTTTCAACTTTCTTTGACAGAAGTGTGTCGTATTTTATTGAAACTCATTGTCTATCGGAGTTAAAAAGTGGCCGAAAGTTATTGTAGAGCTGATTTGCAACGAAGTTGATATCAATACTCCTTAGTGCTTTTGATTTTATTTTGACACATATTATGTTTGTAATTGCTCTAAGGTGCAATGCAATACTCTTTGAAATTGAAATTTCAAATGCAAAGGAATATTTAAATCGGATTAGAATTCGAAATTTCAATTTTATTTGTTCTTGGATTATTTGAATGAATAACTTACCTAATACCACATGAGTAAAGAAACCGACCAGAGGGGAAGCTACATACAAACGGCTCGCTGCGACTATACATACCCATACATAGCGCAGCGACGTGTGAGTGAGCTCTCACACACAGGTTCACCGACGCTCCGTCGGAGTACAAACCGGTTTTCGCCGGCTCAGTCAGAGTATCCATGAAAGGGCTGTTACTCGTGCGCATTTTAAATATATGGCAGAACAATATTTCGTGATTTTATAAATCAATTTTCTTTTATTTTTTTACCATTAGAGTTAAGTATTGAGATTGTGTATTATAAAATAAGATATTATAAATTTATATAAGTAACCAATTAGTGCTCTGCTAATGCTTAACAGTTGTACAGTATGTATAAAAATTCGAGAGAAAATAATACAATTACCAGACAGTGGTGTTAGTGGTAGTGGTGCTGGTGTTGGTGGTGGCGTTTGTAGTATCGTTGTTGGTGATGGGTAGTGGACCACCACCAACACCGGAGCAACTAATACCACCACAACAACTAGCATCACCACCTTAGTCATTACCACCACCACTACCACCATCAAAATTACAACCACCTCCACTGCCCACTACCACTTCACAGCCATTAGCCATTACATAAACAAAAACAAACCACAAAAAATCAGGTGGTACCACCACGTGATTTTTTGTACTCATGAATACTTTGTCTTATGAAAATGATATTGATAGAAATATATAATACCTATGAAGCTTCTATGAGAATACCTATTTTCTTAAAATTCTCCCGAAGGGAGTCGCGCGGTTTTTTATTTTAAATTTCACGTATTTTCTCAATACTCGCCGCTTTACCCTACAGCAAGATTCCTTAAGCCATAATACTATGAAAATTAGCAAAATATACAATATATTTTGTATTTTCAATTTAAGTTACAATAAATAGACATGTTATATTAATTTAAGTTACAATGTAATCAAATGATGTTTTAAACTAGGTATATAATATTGTTATTTTTTTCCTTAAATTTTTCACATTCATCAGGTGAAAACCATATCAAAATAGGTAAACATTTTTGACGTTGTTAGGAAGCTTCCCCTCTGGTCCTTACTCCGTGCTAATACCTCGATTTTCCTTCAACTTAGATTACCTACTTAGCGAATATTTGTGATTGCTGTGGAAGTTCATTTTCACTATTTCATTAGAATATTTTGAGTGTAGTTAATTTAATTTATTTTTCATTTGTTGTTATAACAATTAAATAAGATTCTTTGAGTTTGATTTGTTCGTGTACAAAATTTTTTTTAGTTTTTAATTATAAAAATATCTGTGTTTGAATTATTGTGTATAGTAATATAGTTTTCTTTTTGTTTTAATGTAGATATTTAAGTAGGTAGTAGTTTGTCTTAGAAGTTTAACTTAGTGCGTATTGTTTTTCGCAATTTTCTTATATTTTTAAATTTGTCTGTGTCTAAAATTGGGAGCAGAGTGGGTTAACATCAATTGAAAATTAATAAATCTTGCTATTGTACTAATAGTGTGGGCATGACGCATGCCTTTTCCGTACGCTTTCTTATTTGTTGTACGGCACACAAGAATGCTCAATAAATATTCGTAAAGAAATTGTGCGTCATGTGACGAACAATTGGGATGAATTTGCTGTTATATCTCATGACAGTTATAACTGGCAACAATCATAGGACAAAAGAAGAGTATACATGAGACATTTGTATTTGAAATGTATCGGCATGGCCACCTTTATGCCAAATTTGGTACAGAAGACCTCAATCGGTTACGTTTTTTATACCCATCAAGAGATAGAGGTTACGTTTTTCATACCCATCAAGAGGTAGAGGTTACATTTTTTATACCCATCAAGAGGTAGAGGTTACATTTTTCATACCCATCAAGAGGTAGAGGTTACGTTTTTTATACCCATCAAGAGATAGAGGTTACGTGTTTCATACCCATCAAGACATAGAGGTTACGTTTTTCATACCAATCAAGAGATAGAGGTTACGTTTTTCGTACCCATCAAGAGATAGAGGTTACGTTTTTTATACCCATCAAGAGGTAGAGGTTACGTTTTTTATACCCATCAAGAGATAGAGGTTACGTTTTTCATACCCATCAAGACATAGAGGTTACGTTTTTCATACCCATCAAGAGATAGAGGTTATGTTTTTCATACCCATCAAGAGATAGAGGTTACGTTTTTTATACCCATCAAGAGGTATAGGTTACGTTTTTCATACCCATCAAGAGATAGGGGTTACGTTTTTTATACCCATCAAGAGATAGAGGTTACGTTTTTTATACCCATCAAGAGATAGAGGTTACGTTTTTTATACCCATCAAGAGGTAGAGGTTACGTTTTTCATACCCATCAAGAGATAGAGGTTACGTTTTTTATACCCATCAAGAGATAGAGGTTACGTTTTTTATACCCATCAAGAGATAGAGGTTACGTTTTTCGTACCCATCAAGAGATAGAGGTTACGTTTTTTATACCCATCAAGAGGTAGAGGTTACGTTTTTTATACCCATCAAGAGATAGAGGTTACGTTTTTCGTACCCATCAAGAGATAGAGGTTACGTTTTTTATACCCATCAAGAGATAGAGGTTAGGTTTTTCATAAGATCTTTCTAATGGTTATTTTGATGCCTACGATGATGCTGATGGCGATAATAACACCGATGAGCGCTCAATTGCCAAAAACAATTCATTGAATTGTCTGTGTCCCAGACGTTTACTCAACCTTCGCCAATTTCTAATGTTATGTAAGACTTTCATTCACCTACTTATACAATTATTGAATCTGAATGTGAGCCAGATTAAATTTCTTCTTTGTCCACGAATAATTGCATAGAACCTCCAACATTCACTCCCCAGGAGTCAGTCCAAAATGAAATCAGTTTGACAAATAAGTCACAAAAAATTAAAGCGAAGAAACGCAGGGCTAGGGTTACCAATGTGGTCAGAAAATTGCAACTTAAGGAAGCAAGAAAAAAATATAATCAAAATGAACTTTCTAATCATCGTAAACATGCAGCTAATTATGATAGTGATAATACTGTTGTTTTACTCTCGAACCTTTGCAAAAGCTTCTAGATCTTCTTTATTGTTTGATAAAAAACCTACACCCTGAGCATGATTGTTTCATGGCTGGTATACGACATGATAATAGTTGTTTAAAAGTGACCTCATTTACAGCTAAAAAGATAATACAGTATAATTTTATGCCAAATTTATATTCAAAGTGCAGGGCTAGGTGTATCATTAGGTTGGAAGTTTGCTTCCGCCACTCCAGAATGAACCACAGTTCTTACAGATATATTTTGTTGGTGAGGACAATAGAGAAGTTCAATTGAGACGCAAAAACTTTCTTGTTGTAAAACCTAGCTTGTTAAGTCAACCACAAGAAATGCGACATACTCATAAACGTAAGAGTGTTAACGCAGCCCTGGACAAAGTATCTGCTTCGCGAAATCCATTTAAAGTTTGTTATTAATGCTGAAAGAAAGCCTAAAATTGTCATAGCGGACGACATAATCGACCTACTTCAAATGAAGTTACGTTAGTTACATCTATACACAACTATACAACAATTTTCTAGATATTGTAATTGAAAGCCATGATAAGATATGGCATCTAATAAGTGAAATTCGTCGCTCCTACGATGCATTACAGTACACACTTTCGTTTTGCTACAACGAGGATGGGTACTCCATTTCTATACCCCAATGCGACCCTAAGAACAAACAACCTCTTAAAAAATGGTATCTGCTGCAATTTAGGGAAGGAGAAGATAATTATCTGCTATATTTTCGTTCTTTGTTTAGCCAGTTTCTAGTTGACATGTTTGCGAAAATCGAGACAAAAAGTTGAGTTGTATTAGTAACAATCAGGCGCAGCTTAGAGCGGACAGTTATATACACTGGCAGGATGCGATAGGGAGACAGGATGATGCTGATCAGCTGGGTCAAAAGTTGGTGCTGCGTTCTTCCTTTACTGGGGGGGGGAGGCACGCCACATGTATGAGCGGACACAAGACGCCATGGCGTACGTGCGCCACTACGGTCGTCCCGATCTCTTTATAATATTTACTTGCAATCCTTGATGGGATGAAATCACGGAGATGCTCTCGCCTGCACAAAAAAGTTATGATAGACACGACATAATAGCCAGAGTTTTTTTTACCTCAAAGTTAAGAAAATAATGAAACTTCTAACCAAAGGAAAAATATTGGGTCCTTACATATGAAATAAGCGTTTTGTCGTACTGACCACTTTGATCTGAAATATCTCTTCTTTGGTTAAGAATTCCGAATTCAAATTTATAAATTCATTTACCTGGTACATTTGAGTTTTGAAAACAGTCATTCATTTGTTTTTCTTTGGCGAGAAAAGAAAATTTACTCAGAAAAATTACTTGTGAGTGGTTTCTTGTTTCTTTATAAAAACGTTAAATATATACGTCAAATTATCTCGCATCAATATGCAGCCCGCAGTATCTCAGTAGCCGAGGATAGTTAGGAAATAAATGTTTTCCTCGACTTCTGTGTTATGGTAGCAGCAGGGTATATATTATTTATTGCCGATTAGCCTGGCTGCTACTATATAATTCTCCCTACAGACTTGGGTACAATTGTTTCCACTGTAGAAGAGCTTATAGTTAAAATTTATCCATTTTTATACATGGTAGAGCCATGCTGCAGTAATTTTTTTTATAGAAGAAAGGGCAAACGAGCATACGATTCACCTGATGTTAAGTGACTACGGCAGCCCATGAACAACCGCAACACCAGGGGATTGCAGGTGCGTTGCCGCCCCTTTAGAAAGGAGTAAGCTCTTTTCTTGAAGGTCCCCAGGTCGTATCGGTCCAGAAAAATCGCCGGTGGTAAATTATTCCATAGAGAGGTCATATGCGGAAGAAAACTCCTAGTGAAACGTACAGTGGTGGATCCCCAAGCATCTAGAGTTGTGGATGGTATCGGGAGGTTTGCCGCGTAGTGCGTTCATGAAATTTGGCGGCTGGAATTGATAGATGCGATAAAATACGCAAAGAGATGTTACATCTCTTCGCAGCGCCAGTGAATCAAGCCGAGTAGAAAGCACTCAGTCGTCGACGGTTCGAGCCGCTCTGCTTTGGATGCGATCAAGAGGAAGGAGCTGGTACTGGGGAGCCCCAGCCCAGAGATGGGAACAGTACTCCATGTGCGGCCGAACCTACGCCTTATAAAGTTGCAGCCGGTGTGCCGGCATGAAATACTGTCCCGCTCTGCTGAGCAAGCCAAGCTTTTTAGAGGCCAATTTGGCCTTCTGTTCCAAGTGACCACAAAACCGCAGTTCACTCGATATATCGACGCCGAGGATTCCGATACTGGCTGAGGCAACAAGGGCAGTGCCTTGAAACTGATAAGATACGACAAAGGGGTTCTTTTTAGCGGTTAACGCGCAAACTTGTGTCTTCTGAGGGTTAAACCAGACTAGATTTAGTCGCCCCCAATCCAAGAGTTTGTTCAGCAAAAACTCGAATTCCGAAACAAGTTTATCCCGGTACTCGGAGAAGTTTCCCCGAGAAATTTTGGCACGGCTGGTGTACAGAGCATCACCAATGCTGTCATCTGCATAGCAATGAATTTTACAGGTTTGCAACATATCATTGATATGCAGAAGAAACAGCGTTGGTGATAGCACGCAGCCTTATGGAACACCAGCATTAATAGGCTTGTAATCGGAGCTTGCACCGTCTACAACGACCTAGATACTCCGATCTGCAAGAAAGCTGGTGATCCAATCGCACAATTTCTCGGGAAGCCCATAGGAAGGGAGCTTCGAAAGAAGCGCTTTGTGCCAAATCCGATCGAAGGCCTTCGCAATGTCCAAACTAACGGCCAATGCTTCCCTCTTGGACTCCACTGCCGCCGCCCATCTATGAGTCAGGTAGATCAGAAGATCACCAACTGATCGAACACGACGGAAACCGTATTGGTGATCACTAACCAATGATTCTCAAGGTCCTCATGAGCAGGCGGTTTACAGTGGATGGATGAATTCTTCTCCAAAACAATGGAATCCAATGGGATTTTTTTTTTCAATTTTTTTTACAATTGGGGGATATCATCAGGCCCACTCAACTCGTGGATGTCCAGGGAGAGGAGTGCTTTGCGAACCGAGCGCTGTGTAATCCGCACCTCCAGCATGGAGCACTCACACCGCGGGATAGTCTGCGGCGTACTCCCCCCGTCATCGAGAGTTGAGTTGGACGCAAAGACAGAGCCTAGCAGATAGGCTTTCTCCTTTGCCGTATGGGCCAGTGAGTCGGATCCTTGGAGGATCCTTGTGCAGAGATGGAAGAAATGGCTGACAGAAATTCCCCTGAACAGCCTTGGCGAGATATCAGAATGCACGGCTTCTAAAAGGAAGGTGAACTAGTTTCTCGCCAATTCTGCCTATGTGCTCTGACCTTGGTAATGCCTCTTTTTAAGGACCTGAAGACGAAATTATACTTCTTTTTAGAGCGCTGGTGTTTAGAGCCCGGGACGTTGATGCGTCAGCCCAGGCTTGGTAGCACTCCTGCTCATAGCATGAGGATATTTTACAGATACGACCAAACCATAGCTGAGATTTGCCTCCGATGGACACCACAGAGGAAGGAATAAAAAGTTCCATACCCTGAAGTACTACATCAGCGACAGAATCAGCAACAACGTTGGGATCCTCCGGTGAGAAGCAAACCCGCCCCCAAAGGTAGGATGCAAAGAAAGACCGCCTATATCCTAGATTCTATCCCAATCGGCTAACCTATAGTGTCAAACACGACGGCAGCCTGCGGAATGCAACTGCGATTTCAGCGTGAGTGGCACCACACTCCGGAAAATGGTCCGAGGAGCCTAAGAAGGCGTCGACGGAAATCTGATATCCGTCCGGTTAAGAGTTCAGCAGTAGATCCAACAAGGAAGGTGTATGGTCCTCCATATCGGGAATCTGCGAAGGCGAAGTAACCACTTGTGTCAGACCATATGCCAAGGCAAAATCATGAACATCTCCCCGTATGACCGGTTAAACGTGAACCAAGCCACTCGGCGTGGTGGGCGTTAAAATCGCCGAGGATCACGTTCTCTGCGGAGGGGATCTGCTGCAGCAAAGAATCTGTAGCCATTTGGACGTGGTCAGTCGCTCTGTTTCGGCATTATCGCTATGGGACCTATAAAGGCACCCGTGGATGCGCGGATGGTCGTCGCTGTCTACGCATAGCCAAAGGATGGACAGATCCGAACCTTCAAGACTGCCGAGGTATCGAGAACAGATTCCCTCTCTGACGTATACTCAAATTCCAGCCCGAGGCACAAAGGAGTGTTCTCGTTTGTACCCCGGGCAGGAGAGATACGAAGCATGAGCTGGAGAGGACACCTGCTTCTCGGTCACAAAGAGCAGAGCTGGCCTTGCCGTCTCGAGATGGTAGTGGACGGCATTTAGGTTAGAATGAAGTCGCTCAAGAGTGGAGTAATTTGGTCGTGGATGCTCAGCGTGGGATTCTTCAGGGGTGCTGGTACCCTCCTGGGGTAGATCTTTACTTAATTCCGCTACCATGTTAGGGGGCGGGGAGTTGGAATTGGGCCTCCGGCCACCTACACTCAACAGACGAAACGCGGAAGCTGAGTATCCACTTCACGCCGGTATTTTGTGAGGTTGTGATACCACCCCGGTTTGAGCCGGCCCATACGTGCAACAGCAAAGCTGCCGCGTGGCTCTACGACTGTTAAAGTTTCAGTTATATTAGTAGTATAGTTGTAGCACGAATGGATCGGCTCGACTGGGGAAGGACCACGCTCTCACAGAATACCAGCGTAAAATAATAGCTTAATGCTGCTGTGTTTCGTATGGTGAGTGTAGAGAACTGGAAACCCTTTTTACTGGAAATGGGGTATTCCATCTTAGTCCTCACAGGTGACAACGCATCTGCATTTTGATTCGTAATCTAAGAAAGATTTAAATGTCTATAGGCCACAGCAACCACTTAAAATCAGGTGGACTGTGTGCTCGTTTGTACATTAATAATATTCACGATAAACCTGCAAAATGTTTATGCGAACGTGCCATCCTATTACCAAAAAACGGACTCACATCAGTCATAAATGAAATACTTTTGAGATTATTCGAAGTGGTCGAATATCGATATAAATCCGTCGACTCAGTGATAAACACCGATGATGGCATTCTTTATCCAGTCGAGTTCCTGAATACACTGAAGCCTCCCGGATTCCCACACATGTATTAAAATTGAGAGTTGTAGTGCCAATTATGTTGCTGCGCTAATATATATCCACCAAAATTATACTATGGCACCAGCTTGCACGAGAAAACTTTGCATCGCAATGTAATCGACATAACTATACGTGAATCTGTATTTATTCCTAGTATTCCCCTAACGCCATCAAATTAACCCTTCAAATACAAAGCTCGAGGTCAAACTCTTAAGGTAGCGGGAGTAGACTTGAGAGGAAACTGCTTCCCCCGCGGTCAATTATATGTGGCGTGCTCCAGAGTAAGCGCACAGAGTAGCCTGATGATTCTAGCACCCAAAGGAAAAATAAAAAATATTGTTTCCAAAGAAATACCGCGGTAAGTAGGTAGTATTTCGATTTCGTTGTAAAAAGGTAACACCCCCGTGTCACTTTCATCAGATCAAAGGCCGAGCTTCGTGTTCATAAAATATTTAAAATATTTATTTGGTTTTCATGTTTATTTAACATTTAAATCCCTACACTATAATAAAGATTGTTATATTTTATAATTATTTAAACATTTTAACATAATAATTTATAATATGTTATTACAAAATTAATAGGTAACGTAAAAAAAACCAAGTAAAATCCTATTAGAACCACTTTCATCTACGCGGAAGAGGTCGCGGGAAAAGGCTAGTTCTATATATTTTACATACCTACACGGGGTTCATTCTGATGTCTTCTGTGGAGCTGATATTTTTCGAAAGTATGTATCATGTTCCATTTTGTTATTAACCTAAGAGTCACATTATTAGAGATTTTTCTTACCTCATATGCTTGATTCAACGAACGCAATGGCATTTGTGCCCTCTCGTCTAGGTAACGAAAATTACGTTCACGGGCGGAAACTTCGCCACTTGGCACCGAGGCGGTAGCTGAACCGCTGCTAGCAGCTCCCGAAGAGGTAGCCGGTGTCCGACTCGGTCGACTAGGGCGGCGTGATACTTGCTCGTTACTATCACTGTCGCCATCGGAGAACTCTGCAATATAACGACCCTCGGTCAAAATACTTTTATTGAACTCAATCTCTAATTAAAAGTTGCGATTATGTATCGCAACTTTAAATTAGAGATTGAGTACTTAACATAATACTATAAGCAAAAGTTTCATACATAAGTAAAACTCCCGCAAGCGTTTCAGGCTCGATGGTTTGTTAACAATATATTGTTATATTCTTGGTTGGTGGTCCACTACCGTGTGGTTTATGCATAATTTTGTGCCAAAAACGACCGCGGAAAAATCTTTGGCGACACTAATCACTATAATTCGACAGCGTTACTGTCCAGCGACCAGGGATATTTCTGGACCAGTACGACTTCAAGAAAAGAGCCCAGTTCTTTCTTAAAGGCCTCTCTCTATATAAAGGTATATCTCTATATACAGGCTTATTTATCAAATAGTAGCCAAAATTTAAACTGAAGTTTTAGAGTTAGTTAGTTTTGAAGTTTAGAGCTCCATTTAGAGTTCCATTCCCAATTTTGAGTTCGTCGTCGTTTCTTCATGTCAGCCATTACGTTGTCCACCCGATTGTTCACTTGGTCGATTCGAGTTACAGATTTCTCAATTCGGGTTTCAGCTTCTGACAAGCGGTTGTCATGTTGAGCAACCCTATCCTTCACCTCCTTCATCTCCATCCTGAAGGTAGCGTGAAGGTTCTTTATAAGGAGTATCTGCTCTTCCAACCGACGGGCCTGTTCCTCTTGTCCGCCCCGCAGCTGCTCTTCCAATCGGCGTGCCTGTTCCGCCTGCTGGCGAGCCTGTTCCTCCTGTCGGCGGGCCTGTTCCTCCTGTCGGCGGGCCTGTTCCTCCTGCCGGCGAGCCTGGTCCTGCAGCATCATCATGAGAGCACCTAAGTCAGGTGCTGCAGGTGTAGGAGCTGCTGAAGGGCCAGCCTCCGTGGCTGGCAGTTGGCCCTCCGACTTCTGCGGCGTTGCACCACCAAATCTCCTCTGGTCCGTCTCCTGCTGGCGTTGACTTCGGGTACGGACACCCTCCGATTCCTCCTTCGGTAAAATCGGCATGATTTGATCCCACTTCTGACACCAATTGTTACGAGCTTGGGGTTCGTGACAATAAAAATTGCCGATAGAATTACCAAAATTAACTCTTTAATTCACTTTACACTAATTAAACTTAAAACAGTAATAATTAATCACACTGATTCACTTTACTGATACACTAATAATTAATCACGCTCCGAAGCTTCGCTTGTCTCGCCAAATTCAATACTTCCCCGATCGCATCTTGCAGCGCCTATAAATACAAATTAGCACCGAAACTTCCAGAATATTCAAGTAAACACGCGCAAGGGGCCGAGAGTTCGAGTGTTGACTTCTAGAAGCTTAGTTCTTCGTTCCACTAGGCGGTGTCGGTTGAAAGATTAGTGATGTCATTTTCTGGAAAGCTCCCCTCGCTCTCGTCCCTGACACTAGAAGGCGGTAGTGCCGGATACATGACGTCAACTTATTCGCGCAACATTACTATCAGAAATCACTGTAATAAGTTGTGTTGGAATGCTCAAGGCCATTATATCCATAAGTCGGTACAAAATGGTGAGCTATGTAGCTAAAGTCTAGAAATTTCTTAATGGGAGTTCGAAAGTCACGTAGTGATGTATTACCTAAAGATTTAAATATTTATTTACTAAATCAATAGTTTTCTTCGCCTGACTTTAATGGGGCACTTACATTAAATACATTAAAAATTTTAAATCATCTTTCAATACTTCCAACTCCTGGAATTTCATCTTTTGTCTTCAATCAATAAAATAAGTGTGATGTTATGAAGAGCTTTTTGTCCATTACTTCCAATGCTATTGGCAACGACTCAGCCGTAATATGAACCTTCCAATTCTTGATATAATCATCCCATTCCTATGTTTTTCCTTCAACCTGGAAAGATGTTCAAATTCTACCAATACCTAAAAAATCCAATCCTGCGTCCTATCCTGATTATCTAATATATTATGATAATGGTAATATTGACAATCCTATGTCAATATTACCATTCATGTCCAAAGCACTTGAAAGGATGGTATCTAATCAACTTAACACTTTCCTTTCTAATAATCTTCTTCTATAATAATAATAATAAAAATAAGTAATAATAAAAATAATAATAATATCCTTAACAATATGGTTATCATCGGGAGCATACCACTAGCACAGCTTCTATATTACGGAATCAATTTGGGATAATTTCAAATAAAATTAGAAGCCTTAGTTACTCGTATTTTCAAAAACTGCAAAGACGGTATATCATTATTTATATGTTTGAACTTCAGTTTAAATTTTGGCTACTCTTTGATAAATAAGCCTGTATATAGAGATATACTTTTATATAGAGAGAGGCCTTTAAGAATGAACTGGGCTCTTTTCTTGAAGTCGTACTGATCCAGAAATATCCCTGGTCGCTGGACAGTAACGCTGTCGAATTATAAGTGATTAGTGTCGCCAAAGATTTTTCCGCGGTTGTTTTTGGCACAAAATTATGCATAAACCACACGGTAGTGGACCACCAACCAAGAATATAACAATATATTGTTAACAAACCATCGAGCCTGAAACGCTTGCGGGAGCTTTACTTATGTATGAAACTTTTGCTTATAGTATTATATTAAGTACTCAATCTCTAATTTAAAGTTGCGATACATAATTCGCCATCTAGTCTCGGATCGAAGAACTAAGCTTCTAGAAGTCGACACTCGAACTCTCGGCCCCTTGCGCGTGTTTACTTGAATATTCTGGAAATTTCGGTGCTAATTTGTATTTATAGACGCTGCAAGATGCGATCGGGGAAGTATTGAATTTGGCGAGACAAGCGAAGCTTCGGAGCGAAATAAAGTGAATCAGTGTGATTAATTATTAGTGTTTTAAGTTTAATTAGTGTAAAGTGAATTAAAGAGTTAATTTTGGTAATTCTATCGGCAATTTTTATTGTCACGAACCTCAAGCTCGTAACAGTAACATATTTTTTACAATTTATGTATGTAGTTTTGCATTTATATTTTGACTAAGCTACAGCTTACTTATTTAATAAGATTTTAAGTTCTTCCGTTATCCACGATAAAGGTAGGTGCTTCATTTTGACGGCCCGAAATTGACCATGTTTATCGTAGGGACTAGTTAGGTTAGCCGTAAATAATACGAGTACTACCTTGTCATCTACCGATTCCACAATTGAATATAGATATGATATTGGCATAGGATTTTATTTGCTGATTTCTTTTTATTTATATTGAAGTTACAACGTTTAATTTATATTACAAAAATTATAATAAAGAACTTAACTAAAATAATAATTAAAATTATAATATTAACGATTAAAACTAATTTATATACAATATAAAAGAAGAAAATATAATATAGAAAATCTAAAACTAAAAATTTTTATCGTCAAAAAGACCTGCTCCCCGTGGTATAGTGCCAAGAACGCTGGCTGCGTTTCCTCGCTGAATAGCTACACTTAGCCTTTGAGCGAGGAAATAACCAGCCCTCTTATCACCAGCAGCGACGACCAGTCGTGGATACAGTTCCTTTAGAAACTTCATTGCACGTGGACCCCACGGACCGATAGTCTCTACAGCAAATGGCACAAATATGTAGTCATTTCTCAAAGACTCATATTTGCGCCATTTACTAAATTCGGCTGCCTCTGATGCCGCCCGGCTCTAAAAGAGGTACCCTTGAGATGAGAGGCCGCCAAAGTGTCAACGCAAGTAGCATCCCACACTAGGGCTTTACCTCTCTCCCAAGGGACCAAAGTCATACCGTCGGGTCTCTTGCTATCGTCTCTAAATATCCCGCAAGGCTCTAAAACCGAGGGGATATTTATAGAGACAAGAGCCCTTCGGATGGTTTCGTTCAAAGAACCGTGACGGGAAAACCTACCTGCACTTTTCTTGCATGAAAGTCCGTGGAGCCCAAACTCATCGACGCTGCTACCACAGGAGCACTGGTGAGGATTCCTACGGCGATGCGCAAGCTTTCCCCATCAAGAAATGTGCCGAGATTACTTGATGGTAGAGCATGTAACCAGTGGCTAGATTCCTTAGTCGAAACAGCTAGAAGGCGAGCCTGATCTTGTTGAATATGGAAATTTTGAAATAAATTTTTCTGGACACTGCGTACCAACGGAATATCCCACTGTTTTTGTTGGTTAACTTCCAGTGGGACATTTTCGCCGGGACAGAGCGTTAGCCATGTTTGCTTTACCTCCGAAGCAAAGCACAGGTCTACTTTATTATTTAAAATTGTGTTACATAGGTCATTGACACTATGCACGGAAGCAAGGAAAGCAGGCAATGCGACGCTAGAAATATTTCTTACACCAATTCCACCAAATTTGATAGGTAAAGTGGCTTGATTCCAGGCTATTGTGTTTAATCTCAAATTTAGAATGTTTTCTAGAGCAATTTTAAGATTACTATCAATATCTTTTAAAATATCCGAACATGTCCAGTGTGGCGGCGCTGTCATCGCGCCGCAAGCGAAACACGCTGAAGCCTAAATCACGCTATCAACATTCCGAATATCAATATTCCGATAAACAGTATATATCTATTTGAAAGTTGTAGTTTCCGAAGGTTGTTGGTTGCGTGTTCAGATCATGTTGGGTGGTCACCACTGTGGCGTGAAGGAAAAGGGGAGATCTCCCGCCGGGCAAGGTGTTCTGCTCGGGGAGCGGCCAACACTTCGTGTGATAGTTCGGAGATGTTCTATATATACCGTTTATGATTTGGAATCTTGATAGCGTGATTTAGGCTTCGGTGTGTTTCGCTTGCGGCGCGATGACAACGCCGCCACACCAGACTGGACTTGAGCGTAACAAGTATGTAAATTTAGGTACAAGGAGACAATATTTTAAAATGATAAGGGCAATATGGGGGTTTAAAATATATAATTTATCAACGTGATTTAAAAACTGATCAAATTTTGTTTTTAAAACAGGTTTAATACTATCGAAAAACGACGGAGCACCAAGCAGGTAAAGCGATTCCGAATTGACAGTTTTTATTCCTGGAGAAATCTGATTGAAATTTTGAATTAAGGTATCTCTGTTAGAATTAGATAAATTATTAGTAATAAATATTTCACTTTTATTTGTATCTGGTTCAAGACCAATATTTTTAAAATTTTGAAAAATATGAGTAAGGTCATTGAGAACGTCATCTGCTGTACCGTCGTCCAGATACCAGACATTCAGCTTGGATTTTAAATTTGAAATAAAAGCTTGAATTCCCAAACTGAAAAGAGCTGGACCTAATGGATCACCCTGCTGAAAACCGACAGCAGACTCAATAATATGGTTTTGATAAAACAAGTTTGAATTTTGACTGTATCATTGCCAAACGTAGTGATATATTTCGGGGGTATTGTTAGCCACTTCTTTCAGCAGGGTTATCCTATCAATAGAGTTAAAAGAATTTCTAAGATCAACCTTCAGAAGAACATCTGCATTGGAATTAGTTAAGAAAGTACGCACCGAATGTACCGCCGCCTCACAGCCACCTTTGGTCCCAAAGCCTAGTTGAGTAGGTTGAAATTTTGTCTTAAGGTTTGAGATTATGTGCCTGCAAGCTAATTTTGAAGTTAAGCGTCGAAATGTAGAACCAACAGCAATAGGACGGATACCGTTATTTTTTTTTGAAGGCACACAGTCTTGCCCCATATAATTGCTGATTTAAAAAAAATTCTCGCTGAAAAAATTCTTGCGATAAAATTCGTCTCGGTCCTATTTAAGCTTTATTTATGTACGACGCTCTATTCAAATTCCTTGCCTTTTAGTAATTGCTAATGCAACACGTGTATCAAAATCACAATCTGAATCCTATTCTAATGAGCTGTCTAGCAAGTCTTGAAGCAATATACGCCATCTCATTGTAGGTAGCACTCTGTATAAATAATTCGCTCCAAAAACACGTCTAGTAAGTTTGAAATATTTCGAGTGAATGTCTCATTTCGTATATTATCTTATCCGTGTAGTATGTGATACTTTCAAATAATTTAGTTTTACAAACGTACACAAAATATTATCGTATCTGTGTAGTCTATGACTCGCTTAATACAGCTGTTATACAGCCTGTATCATGCTGGGTCGGATAGTATAGAGCGCTACTAACGCATAAGGTTGTATAAATTGTGCCAATATTTTACTTTAAGAACTGTATATGTGCTTTTACAGCCTTTAAATAGCCCTAAAGTTCAGCATCTAGAATAAAAACGAACAGCAATACAGCTCGTATACAGCTTGCATGCTGCTTGGGACATTGTCCGACTTAGATCGAGAAAAGGGTCAATCGTTGAATCCAACTTAGCCGAGCAGCATCCGAGACATGACGACACATCTGCTCGTCACGTATTTATCAAACCTTGAAAACTCCAGTGCGTGTTGCCAGTGATGACGTATAGATTTGAGACGTGGTTCTTCATTGCTGATCTTATCAGGAAGCTTAAGGTTGCTTAGCGAGCTGGTGAGAGAAAGTAGATCTGTAACGGGCTATAATGATAATGAAGATGTTTTGAAGTATAGCAACACTGAATTCACGCGGTGCCATCTTACGAACACTCTTAAAAGATAAATTTGACGTGTACCTAACAAAACTGTGTAAAAGAAGATCAGTTAAATGCTAATTAGTAGCTATTATTTATTCTGTTTAAGTAAGAAGTTATTTAGTGCCGCTAGTACGCATAAAATTAAACCAATACTAACCGCAATTTTGTTCCATTTTTGCGTCATGTTTATCCATTTTTAAATTTTTTTTCATATTTGTCACGTTCACGTTGAATGATCTCCGTTGGGATATTAACAGATCTGTAAAAATATAAATAAATCTGTTAATGCGTGAAGTATTTCAACATCATCATCATCATTTTAGCACACATAGCAAGTTGAATGTAGCTTAAGGTGAACCTATCCAGTTATATAAAATATAACATTTATACCGATTGCCGATTTTTGTTACATCAACATTTTCACTACAACTAAAATCTTTCTACTAAAACCTGTCCACCCGATGGTACATAAGTGTTTGATGTAGCCCATAGACATCTACCACGGCGCAGCTATATGGTTGTAGGTTGTAGCACGAATGGGTTGACTCGAACGAGGAAGAACTGCGCTCTCACAGAATACAAGTGTAAACCGTTTTTGTATACCTAAAACTACACTATATCAAAAATGCAAAGTTCAGTGCCAACATTTTGATTTCAGTCCTTTTTTAACTGGACTTTACTGTACTCTCAGAATTGTTTGGAGATTTTCCATTACTGAATCACAGGAAAGCTTCTTCTGTCGTTATTTTTTAAATAAGAGTTTATTTATTTTAGAGTTTGGTGTTCCTTTGTTGTGTAATGAAAATATTACGGCTCTAAGACATTTGCTGTTGTCATGATAAGTGGGTTGCCCCTGATGTAGTATACTCATTATATATTAAAGAGACTAGCGATCCACTCCGGATTCGCTCGGGTGATTTCTGGATCTCGGCAACAGCGCCACCTACCGGGCAAACCTTTGGAATTCTTGCCTTTTTTCTACTGTAATATGCATGTAAATAACACATATCAACCTTCCTCTTGAATCATGCTGTCTATTGATGAAAACCGCATTAAAATCCACTGCGTAGTTTAAAACTATGCAGAGATTATACAAAAATATAGAGTATTTGGAGAGGGGGAGGGTGGATACAATGCTGGTATTAAGTTAACGGGAACTTTTTATATAGGATAAGGCTGACTAACTAGCATACAGTTCACATGATGGTATGTGGATGTTTTGGCCCTTAAACATCTACATCGATCCCCGAAATGCAGATGCGTTGTGAGGACTAAGACGAATAGCTTGATTTCAGTAAAAAAGGGACAATTTTACCCCGAAGCCCATTTTCTTGAAGATACCCGCTTCAAAGAAGAAAATGGGCTTCGGGGTAAAATTGCGAGTGGGAGTGAGCCCTTAGAAAGGTTCTCGAGTTGCAGCCTCATATGGGTATGCGAAGTATAGGACGAATAGAAGAATAAGGCATACTAATTGGAATGTCGACAAGGAGATGCAGGAAGTCGATGGTTGCAGGTGGTTCACGTATGTACATGTATGTATGCGACCGGCGCTACTGCGTATTTCGATTAATCCATCGTCTAATTGTCCGTTAGTGTAACATTCATTTAGTTACTTAGTTGTCTTTGTTTCGAGCATATCAAAGGTTATTCAAAGTGCATGTGTAGGGTAATTGGGGTAGCTAGAATATCGATAATAACAAAGGAGCTCGAAACAAGCATTTTCGAGTAGGCTTATAGATCCAAATACAAAGCATTTCAGTCCTCATTTTCCAGTCCAGTTTTCATTTCAAAGCTAAATTCGATTGCTATGCGATACGGAATTGGGTTGACCGGCAGATTTTCGTATGCAATTCTCGAATGTACTACGAAGAATTTGTGAAACGACGAATATGGAATATCTTTTAGTTTGATCAGCTGGTGATTCTAAACGTAACCCATGAGCTGGCAGTTTACAATAGACTCCATTATTTGGAAAACAAAGAGGTGATGGCGATAAGACCAAAGCTATCTTCCATAAATATTTGAACACATGAATATTGTTTTATGTCAACTTAGATAAAACAAATTGTTAGTTGCAATTTAAAGTGCTGATTAACCACGTGATAGACGGTGAAGAGACACATCATGAAAAAAGTTTCTTGGCATATCTGAGAAACAAGAAAACAAAAATTTTTTTTTGTTTTCTTGTTTCTCAGATATGTCAATTGATTAATTAAAAAAAGAAAAGAAAAGAAAAAGAAAAAAAGAAAAAAGAATCTATGAGAACGTATTAGCATTATCTGGTTAGTCTTTTAATACGCTATTAAAAAATTCAGGTAATTCATAGAAGAAAACGATCGGATTTAATGAGTTTGATTCAAATACATTTTTATATCCATGTACTGTCTAAATACAACAATTATTTGATAAAGTACTTTTCATGTCAGATTGCGATGTACAAGATTGTGAGTTCAGTAATTAATTCTTAGTTCCTATATTATGAATTAAGATAATATTGAATCTTTATTGTGTATTTTCTTGTGAAATTCTATAAATATTAACCAAGTAGTGTCGATACTTTTAAGTCGATAGTTTTAACGTTAGAACTTAGAAGCCCTTACATTAAGTTTTGCAAGTGTGTCTCATAGAAAAAGTGGACGAACAGCCCGACTTCTACTCCCACCGATACCAATTAAATTAATATTGTTTTTATTTTAGGGAACGAAAAGAAATCACACGGTATTAACTCAGGTGCGTAAAACAAACATAATTATTTACCAGTGTGCTGTACAGAAAGTAATTTCCTTATTAGCGGTGAGTACGCGGCACAGAAATCTAAATAATAAGGTAATTGCCTTATTATTTAGATTTCTGAGGTACGCGGGCTCTGTTGGATTTTGACTCGCTCGTTGCGCGCCGCAAGCACTTCTGGCATTTTAATACACAATAGTAGAAGTCCGTTTAAAAATTTTTTAAAGGTATCGTGACGTAACGTGAGTTACGATACTGTGTTAACTAGCGATGGGTAGCTATTCAAGTAGCTAACTAAATAGCGGCTATTCGCAAAATAGCCACGGCTTTGATATTCAACACGATAACTAGATATTGGTTGCTTTGGTTAGAGGCGCTTCGGTTATCCCAACAAGCTACGGCGCAGCGGGTAGCTGGTAGCTGCTACAGAGCTACGCTACGTTACGTTACGTTAACGCTACGTTATGCAGCTGGCAGCCTCGCGTAGCTGCAGCTACGTGAGGCTGCCGGCAGCTACCAGCTACTAGGTAGCTGACTAGCTGTTTGTAGCCAAAGTCAATAGCTATTAGCCAACGTGTAACTACACGCGCGATCACCGCAATCTTCATTTGCTTTTCACATCGCCCATATCGTTTTCACATTCACAATATTTATATTCCCACAGTTAGAGAAAAAAAGTTATGTTTATTATTAGTAATACGTACATACTAATAATTTTATTTTTATCCTTTGACTTAATTGAAATTAACTTCCCCTCATACTTTCTTCAGGCTTAGGACTGACGATGAAACATTTGAGAATAAATTATAACGAAATATCATACAGTATATAATGTTACATTTATTTACACTATTTATTAGTCTATATATTGACGTAGTATGTACAGAGCACTCAATTCCCATACCGTCAGGTCATAAATTCGAAAAACAGAACAATTAGCGAACACACTTTTGTATAAATAACACAAACAGAACTAAACGTACCTACGTGCCTAGTGTAATAATAGAAGAGTGTGGTTTGCAAGATGATGTTGTGACCAGGATTAAGAAAGGAATGCTTCGGTGGTTTGGTCATCTGGAAAGAATGAATGAGGAAAGAGTGACAAAGAAAATTTATGTTGCACAAGTGAATGGCAGTGAAAATTTATCGACCAAATTGGCTATTTATTAAAAACGGGCCAAATTAGGAGTACCCTTAACCGACGAGCATGTATGCGTAGGTGTATGGATGTGAAGGAGGCGAGAGAGGTGTGTCAGGATCGTGCCAAATCTCTGTGTCTGTAGTCTCGGCCTACCCATTTTGGTGACAGGCGTGAGTGTTTATGTATGTATGTATAATTACGAAAGTCATATTAGAAAAAGAGTTAGGATTCCGCAAAAAATATTTAAATCCCATGAAATCCAATCGTAATAAATTTGATGGGGGCGCAGTCTTTAGGTGAAATAAATGGAATAACATGTTTATATATAAAATTCTCCTGTCAGTGCGTATGTGACTGACCCAATGAATTTGTGATGAAATTTTGTGTGCGTGTGCGTGTGTGTGTGTGTGTGTGTGTGTGTGTGTGTGTGTGTGTGTGTGTGTGTGTGTGTATGTGTGTGTGTGTTTCTGTGTTTCGAACACAGAACAAAGACTGTTTAAAGCATCCGGTGCATTGTCACCTCTGAGGGCTAAGATGGAATGCCTCACGGCCTTTATATATAGGGGTCTATATATAGGGGTCTGTATACTATTCATAAGGGAATGGCAGTCCAATTCATATTCATGCCACGCTGCAGCTATATTATAGTTGTATCACGAATGCGTCGGCTCGATCGGGGAAGGACCACGTTGTCACAGTATACTAGCGTAAAATTAGAGCGTAATTATGCTGTGTTTCGCATAGTGAGTGTAGAGATCTGAAAACCCTTTTTTACCGGAAATGAGGCATTCCATCCTAGTCCTTAGGGGTGACAACGCATCTGCGTTTTGATTCTTAATCGAGAATAAATGTATATGTCTATGGGCCACAGCGTCCACTTACCATCAGGTGGACTATGTGCTCGTCTGTCACCCTTATTCTATAAAGAAGCGCTGCTATTTGATGACAGAAGTAGGTGAGAAGGATGTACCTACCTAGACTTACTCCTAGAAGGAGGAGCAGGACCACCAGGTAGATATATACATAGATACGTAGGTATAATTATACCAGTTTAGTCTCGAGAATCGGTTAGTTGTTACTGAATACGAAAACTGTAGCGTTAAGAGTTTCGGAAAATAGAGCATTGTTTTCATCATCATCATAATTACACATTTTTAAAAGTCCAATCCTAAATAAAGAATGTAATAGTCACTGAAATATAATTACATTTATCTTTATCGAAAAAGGGTATGACTCAGACTGGAAATATATTGCATGCTTGTTATGTGCAATATTTTTGCAATGGAGAAATATTAACTTACTTAAGGAAATCCCCATGGGTAGCTTTCATAACTATAGCCCTTGGATGCTGAGATTCTTTCACAAAAGGATATGGCACTCTAAAACAA